AGAAATACTGTTATACATATAATGTAAAGACATTTGTAAAAAGAATACACCAAAGCTTAAAATCTGGATATATACTTTGCTTCAAATCTGTCTCACTGGGAAGCTCCTTTAGTCCAGGATTACAAAAAATATTTAGTTAAGACTTCTTTAGGAAATTCCTTTTAAGGTCAAATTTATGAGCTAGTAAGCAAAGTCAGTCCTATTATTTAAATTATTTAGAAGTGCTTTTCATACTTTTGCACAGAAGTACTTCTAAGTATAAAAGAGCAAGAAGTAACAATTGGACACAAGGGGAGAAGGTGATTCTGAGGGAACAGTAGTCTAAAGCAAGAGCGAGTAGACTACGGCCTGCAGACCAAATCCAGCTCACTGCCTGTTTTTGTGAATCAAGTTTTATTGAGACAGAATCACACTCATTTCTAGTTATCTTCAAAATTGTAATGTGATATTAAAATATGTGTGATTTCTATTGGCAGCGATGTCATTGATACCACTAACAATACTGTGGTTTGTGAACTATATTCATAATTGAGCAAAATCCTAAATTTCAGATAGAGGTTAATGAAAATAAAGATGTAATTTTTCACAGACCAGGGGTTAAGAACCTTTGCTTTAGAGGATGGTGGAAATGTAAGTGACACTTTTAAGCAGGATATCAGAAACAGCAAGGAAAATATCAAGCTACAAAGTAAAACATGCCTAATTTTTTTGTAAAAGAAAAACTAAAATTAAAAAATAAAGACATTTAAAATCAAATAATATTTTGCATACAATTCAAGACATAATGCATAGCCATCTGCACAAGTTCTAAGATTTCTCATCTCTGCAATATTTCCTTAAATTCACCCGTGGCTACCAAGCAAAGTATCACTTGTACTGATTTTCTAAACAAAGCTAATTTTGGCAATTAATTAGCAATTAATAAGCAATTAATTCAACAATTGATTATTTCAATAGCAAATGACTAATTTTTGTTCAGAAGTCATGAAAAAGTTGCAAAAGGCAATGCAAATTTTGCTCGCCACCATATCTCATTCACCATAACAACTATCAGATAAGCAAAATAAATATAGGTAATTAGCATATCTTGACATATAAGCATTATGAATATTTACACAGGGGATAAACTACATAGATAATAACACTTTTGAAAGTGAAAATAAACAGCATGTATTAAGAAATAATTATTAAATTCTCAGTGTTTCAAATTATGCATTATTAATTACATAAAAGATCCCTTAGTCAACCTTCATCATATTTCTTAACTATAATATCCATACTGAAGATTAAATATTATAAAGAGCCATAGTATGCACACAATAAATATGACATAATAAATGAATCTACCCTGATAGCCAAGTTCTTCAAATTGTGGTTTTACTCTCTCTGGATATGTCATGATTTACAAAGCAGAAAAATACGTGTATGTAGTTCTTATAAGCAGATCTTATTTGAAAAGGCATCAAATATACTATTTCCAATTTACTTACTATGTAGAAGATAATTAAATTTTTAAGTATAATTATCTTGTGTTAAATACAAAATGATTTATACTTTCTCCTTTAAGGTTCCTTTTACCTATAACTAATTTTCAAGTGTACAAAAGATACTTTTTTTTTAATATCTAATATTTAATGTAATGTCTACTGGTTCCAACATCTAGAAAAGTATATACAGGCTAAACATTAGATTAGTGTAAACTTTCTATCTGTAAAACCAATAAAGGACATGAGGAACTTTATAAAATGCTTTGGTGCACTTTGCCTTCTGTATTTTAACAATTAACAAAAAATGATACTATAATGTTCTTACAATAGAGATTTAGCATTTAGTAAGAAGGACATTTTATTTTTATGTTTTAAAACATAATAGGTTCAAACTGCTTCTAGTAAAGTCTAATGAAGGATATTCAATCTAAAGATTTTATTTAAGGAATTTGTTAGAAAAATTACACAGTGAGTAATTTTCTAGAAATAAGATGGTATTAAAAAAGTCTTAAATGCTACAATTGGCATTAAATTTAATTCTTTGAAAGGACCTTTAGCAGGGACACACTTGATGGACTGATTAGCAATACTTTTTAAAAATTATTAACATGTTACAATAAGGAATCTGATTTTTAAAAATCATCTGGAAGCATGTATGAGAAAACTTGTTGTCATGGAAACAGCCAGCGTAAATGGCAATAAATCCAGAAGAAAATGTCAGTGCTTCTAAACAATGAATGAACACAAAATCCTGCCCGTGAAATAAAACAACACAGTTGAAGAAAAGAATAATCCTATTTAAAATGTTTTAAAATTTCAGTTGCCTTCTAAAAATTTTACTTACTAACAAGCCAGATAAAAATACTGATAAATACTAGTACTAAAACAAATGAAAAGTATTCTCAATCAAACATTAATTAAGGAACTGGAAATGACACTATTATTACAAGAAACTACAAATTTACCAGCTCTTGTGCTTAAGAATTTCAAATCCAAAACTATTAGATTGTTCATAATATGATAATGAATAAATTATACTTAATATATAGACAATAGATAGCATTTGCAAGTAGTAAATCTTTTGGAAAAACTAATGTCCATTACTAAAATAGCATAATGGGATATTGTTGCATTGCTTTTAGCCAAAATATTCTAATAATTTGTTAATGTAATATTCAACAGAAGATTAAAATGTTTAAAAGATAGCTCTAAATTAATATTAATGTCAATCATTTATTTTCAAAAATCTAAGCAAAATAGCTTTAAATTTGAAAATTCATGGAACTGGGATCAGTTAAACATTAAATACCTAAGTTATATTATACTAAAATCATATACTAAAAATTTTTGTCATCAGTTTAAGTACAGGCAACAATACATAGTTCTGACCCTCACAGTACCAGCATTTTGTCAATATCAAAAAAAAAAAAAAAAAATTAAAAGCTTTATACATCAACTCTACTAAATGCACTTTTTCATGCACACTATTCATGAGGAAAAAATGATCTACATGTTCAGTTATGATAAACGTGTATTCTCACAGATTACTATTTTATATGATAACAACAAAATTTTTAGGTTAAATAAAGGAATCTAATTTTCCAACAGACAAGCATTAACTTGTTAATATAATACTGAAGAGTTAAAATGTTTAAAATATGATATTATATATTTATAAATAGGTAATGTTTAAGATTCACTCTTTTATCCTGAGTAAAGGAATGTCTGCAGCTCTTGGGACAGCTGACATAGTAGTACCTTGACTTTTTCTCTCGGAAGAATATCAAAATCAAAGTTAAGACTTCTACAGAAATATATAAACAGATTCTATACTAGTATGGCCTTGCTACATAAAAATTGCGTTGATTCCTGATTTCTTTTCTTTTTTTTTTTTTTTTTTTACAAGTTTAAGTCAAATATTTCAAATGAGCTTTTGGTGAAGAAAATTTATTTTAGTAACTATAAATTAACATGAATTGGGACAAGGACACTACAAACTCGACCCTTTTGCCTTAATTATCAGTCCCCTATAAATATGCCCTTATTTTCAAAAGCAAACCCATATCTCACTATATTTCTTTCATTTTCTTCTTATATCATTCTACCCTAATTATAGTGATATATATTTCATTATTGCTAGTGAAATAGACATATATTCCATGTTTCTAATCTTTCTGCTCACATCTAATAACTTTCTCCCTTTATGATACCAACTATCTACATACTCTTCTTTCCAGTGTCTCTACAAACTTCTAAATAGTACTCCAAAAATGGCTAATAAAGAACAAAAATGGGCAATATTTCTTACCTTAAAGCTATGAAACAATCTCAAGAGAAATTCTTATTTTATTCCTTATGCCATTGTTAGGTTTATTACTTTTAAGAGTTGGCTAGTTCACAGGGCCTCTGCTTAGGGTTCCAGATGTTACCTGGAACTGTGCAATATGATTGCTCCAAGCTTATATTTATTTAAAGGAAAAACTGTCCAAGTCTAAAAGTTGCTAAAATCAGGTGGTGCTATTCAAGAAATTTCCTGCAACATCGATTATAAAGAGTATTATCTTATTATATGTGCATTACTCAAAGTTGATAATAATTGCATAATATAAACTTTACTTTCTAATGTTCACTAGAAGTAGTCAATTTGCCAGGCATGAAATAAACCCTCAATTATTATTCATAATTTATTCATCAAATATATAAACAGAGACTCCAAACAAGTTGTAATCTAACAAATGACAAGGCTCAAAGACTGGCATGCAAACTTTCATGTTACTAACCTATATAAAGTTGAGTTATCAGTATGTATTTATACTTCCATCATGGTTATTTTATATTTTTACAAAAATATGAAATCTTGGACACATATCCTTTTTCTATTACAAAGCATGGCAAAGAATAAATGACAAAGAGAAAAAGAAGTATTGGTTAAATTATGATTTACTTTTCTATGATAATTATTGCAATACTTTATCTGTAAAGAAAAACAGATCATGGCTGTTTCTTGAAACACTTCATGAAGTCTACACATTTCCCTTCTTGCATTCATACATTTCTATAAGTTATATTGTTATTTTAACAATTATCGATGTATGTATATATGTGTACATAAATAAAAGTGAAAATTCCTGAGTACGTCTTACATTTTCAAAAGCACACCCATGTAACCAGCACCCAGATCAAGAAATAGGGCATTAAAAAAGGTTGTCCCCCTGTGTCCTATTCCTGCACTACCTGCTCTCCTCAAGACTAACCACTATCCTGACTTCTAAGATCAGAGATTAGTGCTGCTTGATTTAGAGCTATATATAAATGGAATGATACAGCATTCACTCTTTTATGCCTAGTTTCTTTGTCTCAGTATTATATTTGTAAGGTTCAGTCACATTGTATTTATAGTTATTCTTATTGCTGTATAGTATCCCATTGTGTGACAAGAGCACAATATATTTTCACATTCTACTGGTGATGAGCATTTGAGTACTTTTCAGTTTGGGGCTATTGCTAATAGTGCTGCTGCGAACATTCTTGCATATGCTTTTGGTGAATACAGGTACACATTTCTGTTGGTATGCTGTAGAATAGAATGCTAGGCCATATGGTAAGTGTACGTTCAGCTTTATGAGATGCTCCCAAATGATTTTCCAACGTGTTATACCAGTTTACACTTTTTCCGGCAGCTTATGAGAGTTAAAGTCAATCCACATTCTTGGCAACACATTGTATTGTCTGTCATTTTCACTTTAGTCATTCTGGTGGATGTACGGTGGTATCATATCATGGTTTTAACTTGCATTTCCCTGATAATGGATTTGTCATCTTTTAAGAAATTTATTGGCCAGCAGAATATTCTCTTTTGTGAAATTCCATTCAACTGTTTGGTCCATTTTTTATTGTTATAGCTTTTTCTTATTAATTTAAAAGTGTTCTATGCATATTCTGAATATAAGTCCTTGTCAGATATATGTTTTTGCACATTTATATTCTCATTTTGTGGCTTGTTTACTCTTTTAAGGGTGTCTGTTGACGAACAGAAGTTCTTAATTTTAATAATGATCCAATTTACCATGTTTTTCCTGTGTTTTTTTCCAACACTTTTATTTTCTTACCATTGATATTCATAGCTGCAATCTATTTGTGATGGATTTTTGACAACGGTGTGAGGTAGGAGCCAAGATACACATTTTTCCCATTTTGCTACTCAATGAACCTAGACTATATTCTCACAATTGCACTACAGGTCCACCTTTGTCATAAATGAACTAACTGTGTAAGTTTGGGTCTGTACTTGGTTTCTTTTTTGAACAGCTTTTTCTATTCTACTGGTCTACTTGTCTATCCCTTCAGCAATACCACACTGTCTCAATGGGTCTGGCTATCCGCCAATTTAAGTCATCTAGCTGTGTCTGTCTTTAATTATGTTTTGAAAAAATGAAGACCACATCATTTTCCTAGTCAAAGTCCTCGCATATTTAGAATAAAATCTAAACTCCTTACTAGGGCTTACAAAGCCCTTCTGGCCACTGCGTACTTCTCTGATTTTATCTCAACCCTCCCACCTCACCCCTTGCTCTGTATGCTGCAGCTGCATTGGCCTTCTTGAGATACCCTAGCTCTTTTGTTAGAATGCTCTCTCCCCAAACACCACCATCTTTGCATGGCTTATTTCTTCCCAAATATCTCTCCTCAGACAGGTCTTTGTTGACCAGTCTACCTACAAAGCTTCCTTCTCCTTCTAAAATAATGTTAGTAATTCAGTTGTTAGTTTTCTTGGCCACCGGAATGTAAGCTGAATAGAAAGAGGAATTTTTACAGGTCCTGTTTTATTGTTTTATTTCAAGTACCTGGGCGTAAGTGCCCATTATATATTTGTTCTTTAATATAAATATTAATTAAGAGGGGCTGTATAATATAGTTGAAAGAACACAAAATTGTAACTTGGGAAGGCTAAATGGAATACGTACCTTAGAATGCTAATTAAGATAATTTGACAATTACATTAATTAATTTTATTATAAATACTAATTTTGCTGTTCGTCATTTTCCAGCTAAAATTATAACACTAATTTCACCACAAATAATACATATGTGAAAAATGTACTCACAAATAGGTTACATATACCATGCAAAGGCATAGTAGCATATGAATCACCAGGCCATTTCAACATATCCTTTGAACACTAAGAAGTTTACAAATTATTATCAGTTTTCTCTTCCTCAATTTCAGCATAAAGACAGTATGCTTTTTTGTTTTAATTCTCAGGAAATATTTGTTGAAACAAGGATGCAAAATCTGGGCTGGAAACAGAATTGGAAAAATAACTATTTGATGAAATTCCAACTACAAATGAGACTATAGTTGATTGCACTCCCAAGTTTTAATCTCCATCATAAACATAAGGCAAAAACTTTAATTTATAATCTATAGAAAAAGATAAACTATAAAGCTTCATTGTTATCCTCGATGGAAAGATTAAATTCATTCCCACTTACGTTAAACATAGAAATTTAAAAAAAAATTCCTACCGAGGTTGAATTTGGAAACTAAAAAGGTGATTTTACTGCTCATTTGGAAATTAGACATAATTTTTTATTTCTGAAAGAGGACACAGATGAGAATGTACATTATCGTATCAAGTCTAAATCTATAATAAATAGAATATTTTGGTATTTATCCAGCACCAAAAATGGATCATCAGAAGAAAACAGGCCTGAAACATACTCTAGAAAGGAATTATGTATATGATAAGGTATTGCAAACAAACAGGAAGTCAAATTATTCGTGTAAAATGAAATTGGGACAGCTATTTTAGAAAAACAGTGGATTTGCAGCTTATACACAGCACGCACTACATTCCAGGTGTATTAAAGAGGTAAAGGCTTTCCCTTTTTAAAAAGTAATTTGCAATACAATTTAGAAGCTTTACGTTTTAATATTATCTGGCACATTAATCCTTCTTTCAGGAATCTATACAAAGAAATATCCAGAAGTGCAAATATTTATGGATGAAGGAGTTCATAAACATTGTAACAAAAATACTCTGCACAACTTCAATTTTCAACAATAGATCAACAGTTGAAAAACTGTTTGAAAGGATATTATGCAGCCTATGATATGTACATGAACAAATGGTAATTTCCTTTGAGAATCACAACTGTTTATAGAGAAAGGGATAAAAAGATAAAGTTTCTGATTAAGAAGAAAACAGGTAAAACTTTATCAGTATCTGCGTCGGGATTATGGGAGATTTTTATTTCCCTTTCTATAGTTTTTTATGTTGTCCAAATTTTCTACAAATAAATACACTTATAAATAACTACAATAATTATGGTAAAAGCATTTTAAAAGGAAGGAATGGCCATTATTTTTATAAATTTGATCACAGATGTTGGCTTATTTTACACAACCCTCTTTTACTAATAACCACCTCTTTTACAGCTTGTATGATATAACAAATTATTTGAAATGTCACTACATTTCTTGCATTAGAATAAACACATTGGTATAAAAAGATTAAATCTCATCTTTTTAATCGTATTTGTAAATAAGGAATTACTGCTAAGATGTCTTATTTGTAAAATGTGAGCACTAGATTACATACTTTTTCATGTTTGTTCAAAATCTAACATTCTATAGTTCTATCAGGTTTTCTACAGAAAGAAATACACACGTTCAAAACTGAAATAATTTTTATCAAAATTTTGTAATGGGTAAACTAACATACAAGAAAACATTTTCCCCCTGAAAGATGTTACTTTATTTTAAGCCTAAATGATTTACTCAAGTCTTCTAACGTAAAATATTTAAAAAATGTATTTAGAACATATTACATTTCCTCCAGTGTAACTGTATAATGTAGAATTTTAAAAAGTAAAAGATATTGTCAATGCCCAAGAAATCAGAGAAGAATTTTTAATGTTACATTTACAAACAAAGCAATCATATCACAATTTGTGAACTAAATTCTGAGTTAGATTCTGAATACTGAATACTGATACTGGAAGCCATTAGGAGCTAAAACAGATGTGAGTACGTACAGAACAAGTGAGGGCAAACAGTGAGATTATCATGGTAGCAGCAAATGACGTGCATTGTTCAAGAAAGAGACCAGGTACAAACCCAAGCTTATACAGTTAGTTGATTTATGACAAAGGTGACCCTGTAGCGCAGTTATGAAAATGTAGTCCGGGTTAAGTGAGTAGCCAAGTACGAAAATACGTAACTCGGCTCCTACTTCGTACCATTGTCAAAACTCAATCACAAATAGGTTGCAGATATGAACAGTAGTTTTTAAATGGCTTTGAAATTCAGACAAAGGATTTTGGATTCGATGTACTAGTTCTTAGATGACTGATGCCATTCAAGTTTGTTTTAGAAAAATTAGACTGTTAACATGTACGTAAAAGGATTAGGAAAAACAAGGTCAAATAACTGAAGGAAAATGAGGAATCATAAGTAACACGTGAAATGAACTAAAATAAAATGTGTCTTCCTGATATGAACTTTGAGTTGTTTTTCTAGCAGTAGTAATGGATTTACATGACTTAATTTCTCTCTCCCTGGATTCCTTGCAAATAATGAGATGTATTGGTAAAACCACAGCCAGTATTAGAGAAACATCTTATAACTAGGAAAAACAAAAGTTGTATGACCTTGAGAGGACCAGATAATTAGCAGAAAAACAACATAGGAAAACATATTTTCTAAAACAAGTAACAAAAGGGAAAATTTTTTTCTTAATTTATATCCCCATCAGTATGATCTTGCAAAGAAGAAAATTATAGTGCGTAATGCATAAATTGATAAGGAATGGGAAACGTTTCTCTTGATAAACATATGTGGTCAATTCTCATTATTTGCTGTGCTTATGATCTGTATAGTCATCGAAAACGTTAAATTAGCAAACACTGAATTCTTAAGGCAAATACAGGTTTAGGTTCCTGTGAGCCTCTTGTCACAACATTTTCATCAATCTTCAATATATAACACTTTGTTTTATCTGTGTTTCTATTTAGGGACATCTTATTTAGTATATATTATTGATTCATTAATGCTGAACTCATGCCCAACGGCCCTATAAGTCATGCCTGAATAAAGATTACCTAACACACATTTTCTCTGTAAAGCACGTCACAGCCCTCTTGCACTTAGGAACACTAGACAGCTTAGACAGCACTTCAGCAGTATGCTTGAGGGCCATTTTAAATAGTGAAATCATGAACAAAAAGCACAAAAATGTGAAAAACATAGCACTAAACTGCAAAACTGTTTAGAGGATGAGAGCTGACACAAGAAGGCAAAGCATCACCTTGTTTGACCTAAGCTGTGAACACGTGTGCCAGGTGACCCAAGTTTTTCACCACGCCACACAAGTCTGCAAATGATATTAAAAGCTCTGCGAGTATCGATATCGGGTTTACAAATAAATTTTAGTAGGTGGGCAAATTTGCAAATATGGAATCCATGAATAATGAAGATTGACTGTATTTAATGGAATGAGACTTGTATGTCCTGAATTTAATTCCTATTCTTTAAATAATTAGATGCATAACCAGGAGCAAGACACAA